ATAGATATATACGAACAGAGATAGATAGATAGATAGATAGATAGATAGATAGATAGATATGAACAGAGTGAGATAGATAGATAGATAGATAGATAGATAGATAGATAGATAGATAGATAGATAGATAGATAGATAGATAGATAGATATGAACAGAGATAGATAGATAGATAGATAGATAGATAGATAGATAGATAGACATGAACAGAGTGAGATAGATAGATAGATATGAATAGAGTGAGATAGATAGATAGATAGATATGAACAGAGTGAGATAGATAGATAGATAGATAGATAGATAGATAGATAGATAGATAGATAGATAGATAGATAGATAGATAGATAGATAGATATGAACATGCTTAGATAGGAACATACTTAGATAATGAACAGACTGAGATAGATATGAAGAGACTGATATATATATTTATATAGATATGAAGAGAGTTAGATAGATAGATAGATAGATAGATAGATAGATAGATAGGAGTAGACTGAGAAATCGTTTAATAAGTACATACATATTTTACTCTTTCTCATGAAGACATTATCACACAATTCTTATTACATTTAAGTTTATACTATTATATAATGAACTTTTAATATGTATTTCATTTTCGCCTTATTTATATTTTACTTATTTTGTATGTAAAACATTTACATTTTACAGTTTCATTCAGTGTAATACTAAGTAAAACACGATGGAATTTTTTTTTATTTGTTATAGTTAGCTGAGTGCAGGTCAAAGTGGTGAAAAACAATTCCAATTAAGAAAAGCTTAAATGTTCTTCGGAATTTTTTTTTTTTTGCCTGAACTCGAACACTGCCTATTGGTGTTGATGGCCAACTATGTGATCCACACGGAAATCACATGACAACAGTGTCTTTGTTTACCGAAATGTTCCTGTATTTCACATTTCCCACCTATTTCTTCTCGAAAAAAAAACATTTTGTTTCTATATTTATATGTTTCTCAACCGTTAACAACTGTGTTAATTATGGATCAGATGAAAAGAAATTATTCAATAAAGGTTATCGATATTATGAAACCTATTTTATACCGGATAACAGTTGGGGATCTAAGAGACGCGAATATTTTTTACGGCAGTTTTTCTGAATGTAAACATCGACATGCCGTCAAATCCAATATATTTGCACGGAATTTCTCGCTGTTCTTACTAACAATGACCTTTTCTTTTATTAACCTGACGATTTGAAAGCTACAACTCTGATCCCATATATTTTGTCCAAAGTAAAACAAAGCACGTTTCATCGACAGAGCTTACTCAGCCATTTATAATAGACGGGATCATCTGAGGAGGTTGAGTATTGATAATGTTTGTTTCCATGATCCTGAGAAAGCAAACCGCCTCCAACGTCCCCATCTCAGTTCCTTTTTGTATGATTTCATTCTGACACTTTGAAATCTTTTTAACTTGTGGCGGTTTTGGCAGGCGCAATGTTTATTTTTCTTTCATTTTTCTTTTCTTTCTTTTCTAGTGGTGGGATATTTTTCTCACAATTTTTCACTCCTTTTTTTTTATTATTTCTTGCTTAATCTTCCTCTACCATCACTTTAGTTTTCCATTTATTTTTCTTTTGAATATATTTCTTTATTTCTTTCGATTTTCAGTGTTCTTTATCTTTCTCTTTTCTTTGGTGTTATTTGCATCTCAGGTTTGCTTTTATCTCAGTTTCTTTCTTCCGTTTTTTTTTTTTTTTTTTTTTTCATTATATCTTTATATTTATTTTCATACTTCTTTTAATTATTTATTTTTGCTTTCATTTTTTTTATTCTCTTACATTTTATCATTTCCTCGTTTCTTCCAGATTTTTCTTTGAAATTGTTTCTTGTTTTCTCTCTCTCTCTCTCTCTCTCTTTCTCATTCTTTCTTTCTCTCTTTCTTACATTCTTTCTTTCTCTTTCTTTTTCTATCTCTCTCTTTCTTTCTCTCTCTCTTTCTCATACTTTCTTTCTCTCTTTCTTACATTCTTTCTTTCACTCTCTTTTTCTATCTCTATCTCTTTCTTTCTCTCTCTCTTTCTCATACTTTCTTTCTCTCTTTCTTACATTCTTTCTTTCTCTTTCTTTTTCTTTCTTTGAAATAAACATTCTGTTCGAATATCTTTGATAAATCACGTTAACATTCATATATTATAATCTTCGCTATACTTAATTTCCTCCTTTTTTCTCTCTCTCTTTCTTTCTTTCTCTCTTTCTTACGTGCTATCTTTCTCTCTTTCTTACATTTTTTCTTTTTCTCTCTTTTTCTTTCTCTCTTTCTTTCTTTGAAATAATCATTCTGTTCAAATATCTTTGGTAAATTACGTTAACGTCCATATGTTATAGTCTTCTCTATACTTAATTTTTTTCTTTTTCTCTCTCTTTCTTTCTCTCTTACTTTCTTTCATTTTCTTTCTTTATCTTTTCGCTCTCTCTCTCTTTTCTCTCTCTCTTTCTATCCCACTTTCTTTCTCTCACTTTGTCTTTCTTTTTTTCTCTCTTTCTTTCCCTCTCCATTTCTTTCTGTCTTTCTCTTTCTTTCTTACATTCTTTCTTTCTCTCTCGTTTTCTTTCTATCTTTCTTTGAAATAATAATTCCGTTCGAATATCCTTGGTAAAGATTACGTTCATATGTTATTCTCTTCTCTATACTTTCTCTCTCACTTTCTTTCTCTCTCTTTCTTTCTCCCTTTCTTTCATTCTTTCTTTCTCTCACTCTTTTCTCTTTCTTTCTCTCCCGCTTTCTTTCTCTCTCTTTTTCTTTGTCTTTCTTTCCCTCTTTTTTCTTTCTCTGTTTCTCTTTCTTTCTTTCTTTATTTCTTTCTCTCTCTCGCTTTCTTTCTTTGAAATACTCATTCTGTTCGAATATCTTTGGTAAAGATAACATTCATGTTATTCTCTTCTCTATACTTAATTTCTTCTGTCTTTCTCTCTCACTCTCTCATTCATTGGATTCTTTCTTTTATTCCTTATATTTTCGCATTCATTACTCTTTCTACCTTTCTTTTTCAGTCTATGATAATGATTATCTTTTCCAATGAAAGAAAAAAATTCAAAACCTGTACAAATATTTTCTCAACTTAATTTCATCTTCATTTGTCGATTGTCCTTGTGGACATACTGGTCATTCAAGCAACTAGTGACCAGTGATTCATATATTTATCACCTTTTCTTTATTGCAACATGCAAAGCACTTGACGATTGGAATGTTCACACACACACGCACACAGATATGCATGCATACATACGCACACCCATACACGCGTATTCTTAAAGCACACCTAAATGTACATACACAAGCACATACATATTTTTTTTATTTTTTGTTAATCGTCTTACCTTGGTTTATGTTTTTTCTTCGTCGCCATTCTTTTAATTATTGCATCCTTAACTCCTGTACGCCCTTAGAGGCATATTTTTTATGCGTGTCCGTTATGAAGATTATTACAAAGAATACTACACATGTGTGAGTTGAGTCATTTTTTCAAAATATTTTTATTCTTTTGTTTTTCATTTTTTTATTTATTTATTTAGGGTTGAATAATTTACCAAGCACATTCCTCTTTAAAACGTTTTTACATCTCATGTTCCAGAGATTTGCTTTCTTGCAAGCATGTTTATGTGTGCATACCTGTGTCTGTATGTGGTTGTATTTATGTTTGTATGTGTTTATATATCTCAGTTTGTTTGTTCGTTTGTATAACTCTCTGTGTCTGCATGTGCGCATGCATTGTGTGGATATATGTGTATTTGCATTTGCCTTTTCAGGTATTGTATGTATCTGGGTTAATATTAATGTACGTGTCACTGTTAATATGAATGTCTATGTATGTATGTGCATATATTTGTTTGCTCGCTTGAACTTATTATTTATTAAAATGTTTTCATATATATCAAAATTGGATAGCAGACACAGAAAGGAAACTTCAAGTAGTTCTACAGAAGGTAGGGAAGGAAAGTGAGAAGAAAGGACTAAACATCAATTGCAAGAAGACAGAATGCATAGAATGCATATTTTGAAATACCAAAATCAAGCAAGTACAACAATTTAAATACACGTGGGAAGTGTTTTATCAGAGGAAGGAAAGTGCGACATCGAAATCCAAAGGTGCATTGGGATAGCGAAAGATATAGTCTAAAAACTAAGCAAAGTATTAAGAAACAGAAAAATTTTGTTAGAAACAAAGAAAAAAGTACTGAACTGTTAAGTAATATCGGTCCTCCTATATGGCAATGAATATTGGACAATCGCCTGACAAATGAAAATGAGACTTAAAGCAACAGAAATGTAGTTCTAAGAAAGGTGCTTAGAAGTGGCTAGGCCGAACATGTGAGCAACAACAAAGTTTTAGAGAAAAGGTAAAATTAAGCAATATCAAGGCTGTCAGCACCTATATGGGTGACCTCTTGGAAATACGGGGTGCTGTAAACTTCGATGTAATGGATAACAGTTTGGGATGATAAATCGGTGGGCCGAGTTCGAATTCCAGTCGGGTTTTACATTCACTTAAGCAAGTACTCTTGGGCGATCATGTATCGAAATTTTATAAAATATTCTTCATAAATATGTATATATGAAAGCGTATATACATAGATAAATAGAGAAAAGGACAGGCAAGCCAAATGTCCTAAAGTTTTGCTCATATTTAAATATATACATTCAAATTTAAATAAACAGATTGAGATACACCTGATGTATGTGCAGATGTATGTGTGCACATTCAAGATTAAATCACCTTTAGCACAAAAGTCACGTATTTATCTTTTTCCAGTTCTTTGAGCTGTAACTGAACAAAAATTTAGTTATAAAACAGACGAGCGTCTTTCTCTCTTTGAGAATGGGAAAAGTGTCAAAGAAGAAGAAAAGAAATGAAATTCAGTGGTAGATGGAATGATATGAAGAGGATAGTAATTTTTTCGAAAAGGTGCATGTGTATAAAAAATCATCTTTTCTTCAGTTAAAGAATTTTAAGAGTAATCCTACTCGCATAATACACATTAAATGAAAACGATAGACAAATGAAAATTTTGGATATCATGCCATAGCCTGTCATTGTATTCATGTATGAACAGACTGGGATAGATAGATAGATAGATAGATAGATAGATAGATAGATAGATAGATAGATATGAACATACTGAGACAGATAGATAGATATAAACATATTGAGATAGATATGTAGATAGATAATGAACAGACTGAGTTAGATAAATATGAGCAAACTGAGATAGATAGATAGATAGATAGATAGATAGATAGATAGATAGATAGATAGATAGATAGATAGATATGAGCAGACTGAGGTATATAAATACATATGAAGACAGATATGAAAAGACTGATATATATATATATATATATTTATATAGATAGATGAATGAAGAGACTGATATATATATATATATATATTTAAGAAGCTGATATATATATATATATATAGATAGATAGATAGATAGATAGATAGATAGATAGATAGATAGATAGATAGATAGATATGAACATACTGAGATAGATATATAGAGATAGATAATGAACAGACTGAATTAGATAAATATGAGCTAACTGAGATAGATAAATAGATATGAAGACAGATATGAAGAGACTGAGATAGATATGAAGAGACTGATATAGATAGATAGATAGATAGATAGATAGATAGATAGATAGATAGATAGATAGATATGAAGAGACTTATATATATATATATATATATATATATACATACATACATATATATATATATATATATATATATATATATATATATATATATATAAAGAGACTGAGATAGATAGATAGATAGATAGATAGATAGATAGATAGATAGATAGATAGATAGATAGATATGAATAGATTGAGATAGATACATAAATAAATAGACAAGCAGTTATGTATAAAATGAGATAGATAATATATAGAGAGACAAATATGTATAGTGATATTGATGAATGGATAAGTAAATATGAATAGATTGAAATAGATATGAATAGAGTGGGATAAATAGATATAAATAGGCTGGGATAGATAGGTATGAATAGAGTGACATAGGTAGATATTACTGAATACAACAAACTCTGAATTCTTAGTTAATCTTATATAATTTTTCATGTTTTGCAATGGAATATATGGTTGTTAAAAATTATGCAAAATATTACATAGTTCTTATTGTTGATTCTAGGGCTTTTTTACCCTTCTCTGGTCATCATCAAGAATAAATCATATTTCTCAGGTGAAGATAAGATTTGGAATTCAAAATAATCTGATATTGCTGTTTACATTGAAAAGTGTTATTTGTTGATATTGGAAAAGTGATGAAAATCATTTGTTATTCTATTTAACCCTGTAATATGGATTTTTAAAATTCTTTTAGATTGTTTTTAATTATTAATATTATTAGATTATTAGGTTATGTATAAGTTTGTCTATATCTAGGTTTTTAACACAAGGAAACTAGATTTAAAAAAATTGATTTCCATAATTTACATTCAGATTATTGTCCTCGGTATTGTCACAATGTTTTGACCATAGCACTCCTTCACTTTCTTCAGATATTTGTTAATTCAAGTAACCTTTTTAGAATTTCTAACAAGCTATTTTAAAATCAACAGAAGTAGATTCTTCTCATTTCATTGTCTATGACTAATAATACCTTGTTTTTAATTTTTATTTTAGTACTGCTCAGTTATTGGTTGCTCTTAGTGTCTAAGTCTGTACTAACTGGCCCAGGAATTAAACTCACACTCTGTGACCCACCAAATCAACACTTTAATACTCTAGTCTATTGTCCTGTGAGACCCTGTTGATAAAATAAGTTCAAAGTTTCCCAGAGGTTATTTGGGATCAAAGAAGATCCAAAAGGCACAAAAATCAAAACATTGTGATAACAACAACAGCAAAGTTAAAGTATGTAAATAAATGATAATGATTCATCACAGAAATTCAGCCAGAATTCTTTAAAAAAATGAAACTTTTAAAAATCTACCACAGGAACCATATTAACTGTATGTTAACAACTAAAGTAACATAGCTTAATAATTACTTTAATTAATATTAGCAGTTAATAATAATTGGTATAATGTTTATTCCCCTAAAAATGGTTTAGTTGTCTAAATAAAATGTTAAAGATTATTTCTCAAGCAAAATTGAAAAAACATTTCTCTATTTAATACCATTTTGAAAGATAAAAATCACATAAATTACTAATTTTATTAAAAGTTTCTAGATGATGGATCTCTAAATACATACTATAATAATAAAATATCTGTACTTTCGGAACAACACATGAATTCAAAATGAAGTTTAATTCTGAAAGAATCTATGTCTTCACCTATTCCTAGGTACTTGTTTTAAGCATTGAATAACATGTAGTATCGTGCCATGAACTGAACAAGTGTTCCTTCCATGTCCAAGTGTCTATGCCCATCGCGATTTTGACATGTTTGGACGGTGCCAGTGTGAAAGAAGAATTCTCTCTTTCGACCGACAAGTGAAAATTAGATATTCAAGGTTGAATCCAGAGTTGCTATACAAGAGACTGTGATTAAATTTCTTCGGTGTTTGGCGACCGGCCCACTATCGCCCATTCTGGCAAGGTTCCAGCATTTCTGATCACTCGACAATAAAATCAATTGGGCACTTCACAGTCCAAATATATCTGATAGAAAGAAAGAAAAAAAAAGTGTTAAGAAAAGTTAGAAGGAAAGGAGACAAAACAGGAAGAAATGCAACAATGAAAGAAGGAGAATATATAAAGGAACAAAAGGAAAAAGATGAAATATAGAATGAAGAATTTATAGAAGAAAGAAAGAAAGAAAGAAAGAAAGAAAGAAAGAAAGAAAGAAAGAAAGAAAAAAGAAAGAAAGAAAGAAAGAAAGAAAGAACACTACAAGCCTAAAATGAAAAGAAATAAAGGTAAATGGTGGGGAAGAAACATTCCTGATTGTAGAATAAAAGAATGAAATCAGATTTTAAGACAGAGTTGTGTTTCTGTTTGCTTTCATGTTGAAGTATGAATCAGAGTATGTACATGTTTGCGTATTTCTGTTCAAGCTGAGCTCTAACTTTGTGCACTAATCTACATATTTTTACAATAACACTTATATGGATACAGAAGTATACATGTAGCAAAGGTATAACAATTGTTTGTGCACTAGCTAGTGTATTTTCCATGTATGCAGTAGTTATTTCCAAAGTGTATGTTTACAGTGTATTGTATGTTATGTATTCAGCTGAGTGCTTGTGAGAATTAAATGTAAAGGTAAAGAGCGGAAAATAGAGGAAATTTAAGGAAGCATTTGGAAGGCGAGTATGTTTGTCTGAGAAACCAACTTATTATGGATAAGATTGTCACAGATGGGGGAAAGAATTATCAGATAAATACCATTCACAAATTTCTAATAATATAGGACAGGGAAAGTCTTAAAACTAATGCAGATAATAGCAGTAATGATAATGATTGTGATTATTATGGTGTTATTCTAAGAAAAACAAATATTATTACTGAATAATAATAATAAACAAATAATAATAATAATAATAATAATAATAATAATATTAAAAAACAGTAGGTTGCCAATTCGTTATTTTATTTTTTTACAAAAATGCTCATTGGAAAATGTTATGATGTCATTTCTACCTTAGGTCTCTGGTTGGGACCCAGAAGGAAAAGACTATACAACAGAAATCAAGGGAAATGATGATAATAATAATAATAATAATAATAATAATAATAATAATAATAATAATAATATTTTTTTTTTTTTTTTTTTGTCAGTGGAAAGTGTCATGACACCATTTTTAACCTTAGGTCCCTGGGCAGGACCCGGAAAGAAATGTGTAAACGCCAGAAATCAAAGAAAATAAAAATGATAATAATAATATTATTAAAAAACAATAAGTTGTAAATTTATTATTTTATTTTTTTACAAAGTGCTCATTGGAAAATGTTATGATGTCATTTCTACCTTAGGTCTCTGGTTGGACCCAGAAGGAAATGACTATACAACAGAAATCAAGGGAAATGATGATGATGATAATAATAATAATAATAATAATAATAATAATAATAATAATAATAGTGCTGTCTTTCAAATGGAAAAATTAAAAGGACTTAGGATTTTAGAATTCCGAAGAAATTTTTACACAGCTCTGATCAAAATCTAAACAACAAAATAAATAATCTACCTGATGACAAATTAAATTAGTTTTTAATATTTGAATAGTAATAATATAATCTTAATTTCAGTTGCTTTTATTTGCAGCTACCAAGACCATCAGTCTGTGGCCATGAGTAAACAACACATTCCAAGAAAAAAAATACCACCCCATATACTCAAGCACTTTCTTTTCTCGCACTCCCCACCTGTAGAACTCTATTCCAATTTCTTGTTTCCCTGATAACTACAATCTTCAAAAATTTAAATGCAATGTCAATCGCCATCTTCTATCATCTTGAAGCCTGTCATCTTTTATCCTTTCCTCCATTCCTTCTATACACAGTTTTTTCCCTCACTTTCACTCTGTAAGCTCCTGTGTGCTAGTGGCACACCCACCTTGTTTGGGGTAAAATGATTAAAAATATAAATATTTCAGACAAGACTTGAACTCAAATTCAGTTCTATTCTGGGAAAACTGTTTACACAATTTGATAAACCATTTATAGTACATAAATTAGCTCTTCATGGCGAAAGGGATGTCCGAGTCTCACTTGTAGATTATTCTTTATTTTAAATCTTCATTTACTAATTGATATAGACAGATGGTTTGAATTGTTGCAATAAAAAATCAACAGAAATTAAAACAAAATAACAATAAAAAAAATTAATAATAATTGTCACTGTTTCATCTAAAAAATATGTAAAAGCACCAGCCAAAAATTAATAATTGACAATGTTTCATCAAAGAAACCCTGACAATGTATTTTTATGAATGTCATTCTAAATGCAACTAAAATTAAGTTGAAAAAATACTAGTATGCCTATGCCTCACATAAGAAATTCAGAAAACCTAATATTAAAACTGACTAAATATAAAATTACCTATAATAAAATATAGTTGAAAACTAATATAAAAGGAATAGGCAAAAATTAGTAATGGTTGACAATGCTACATTCAATAAATACTCAAGATTATATTACTATTAATGCTTCTAATATTACTAGTAGAAATAAAACAATTAAATTAAGATGAAAGAAATTCTAGTTAAAATTTAATACTAATTGTCACAGTGTCATCTAAGAAATTTGGAAAACCTAATATTACTACTCAGTCAGTCAGTTAAATGTCATATGTGATACATTCTTAGGCGATCATGTCTCCTCCAGTTCGTGACTGAGTAGGCAGAAAATTTTCCTTCAGTAGGTTACATTTTTTATGTGGTAGAATGTTTGCTGTCCAAAGCTATATGACACAGTCTGTCTTTCTATTCAACCCATGGCTGAGGGATGAAGAGATGGATTTGTATCTTTCCAAAGGGTATTTTTTCATAGGGGAATGTAATGATCTCAGCTAGAATTTGAGTTCCCCTAAGTGTAAAAGCAATAAAAATTAAGATGAAGAAATAATTGAAATAAACTACATAATCTTATGACTATTAAGTGCAGAAGTAACAAAAGTAGGGATGAAAGGAATATGAGAAAAAAATAAAAATAGTTGAAAATGCTTCAACTAAAGAAACAATTTAAAATTAGATGACACCAATACAGCAAACGTGAGAATGAAATTTGAAGAATGTAAAATTTAATAAGTATCAGAACATTGCAAAAGAACTACAAATCGTCCATGATGCTGAAGTTTTGAAATTACTATCAGTTAATTCCTCAGTGAAACATAACAGATTTCAAGATAAGCAGCATTAGAAATAAATATATT